AGTTGCTCTGCCCCAGGCTTCCTGGAATCAGCCGCTGATCAGTTTCAGCAGCGAACGCCTGGGGTAGAGCAGCTGGGGTGCTGCCGGGTTGGGCCCCCCAGCGCCCGGCGCTGCGGGGACCTACCCGACAGTGCCCCAGCTGCTCTGTCCCAGGCGTCCAGATTCAGCTGCTGTTGAAACTGATCAGCAGCTGGTCAGTTTCAGCAGAAGCTGAATCTGGACGCCAGTTCCGACTTACATACACATTCAGCTTAAGAACAAACCTACAGTCCCTATCTTGTACGTAACTCGGGGACTGCCTGTATTGGCCAAACTGGACAGTCTCTACAGGAAAGAATTAATGGACACAAATCAGATATCTGAAAAGGTAACACACAGAAACCTGCTGGAGAACACTTTAGCCTGCCCAGGCACTCATTAATGGATCTCCAAGTCACCGTTTTGTTTCAGGCCAATTCCACAAGCCAAATACACAGAGAAGGATTGGAACTTAACTTTAATTTTTTAATTCAAGTTTAATTCTTATGCAAACGGTATGAACAGAGATATTGGCTGGCTCGCACACTACCTTCCACATCCTAATGACTTAACCAATCAATCAACCAATGGATGTGCTAATTGTTCTTATTAGCTTCCTGTAACTTTAACAATCTATTTACTGTCTTTTTTCTCCTTTTTTCCCCCTCCTCCACACCCTCCCATATCCCTTATTTATTCTTGGATCTGGACTTCTAATACTCCTGTCATCTGAAGAAGTGGGTTGTGCCCACGAAAGCGCATGCTATCATTTACATTTTGTTCTATTTGTTGTTTAAGTTTTTCCTATCACTAAATAAACATGAATTAACAAAATAAAACCCTTCAGCGTTCCAGAAATGTATAGTAACTGTTTTGCAGCCCAATTGCGTCCCCTTCTTACTCAGCTCAATATCTGCAGAAGTTAATCAATATATTATCAATTTTGCCCAAGTCATATTGCTTAATATAACAGAATAGTACAACAGTTCTACTTCTACACTTTCAACAGTAACAATACAATACACCAACGAAGGAAGAGGATGTTAGTACCTTCTAAAATGTAGATACACTCTTGGTTTGGTGGGTACAAGCTAGGATAGTTTGGTGAAGCAAAATGACCTCCATTGCTTGTCCGAACCCAGTTGTCACACTGGGTAGATGGTATATGGTTCACTCCAATATTCTGCCCACCTTTAAAAAGAAAAAAACCCCACATGTACTATAAACGTCAAATAAAATTTAACAATAAAAACCACCTACTTGAACAGTATACCCTAGAGCAGTAGTTCCAACCTTCTATACTGGGGACTTACAAACCCATTCACCTTTTGTTGGACCAGTAACATTTTATTTGCATATTTATTATGCAAATAATGAATATAAAATCAACTGGTACTGGTTTGCCAAAATATGGACTCCAGCCCCATCATACACTCCAAACCTGACTCCCACATCCCCCCACATTATGTTATTCAGCCGCCCGCCAGGCGGGCTTGACCACTGGAACAGGCCTCAGCTGCCACATGGCCACAGCAGATCCGAGTCCCCCCACACTCGCCATGCAGCAGGTCTTGGCCCTCTATCAGAGCAGGCTCTGACCTCCCCATCACATGACAGGTCCCAGGCCCCCTGCCAGAGCAGGCCCCCAGTCCCCTCCCCCCCCCCCCCGCCCCATGGCTGTGGCGGGCCTGGTTCCCAGATCTAGCTGCAGCGCGCTCAGCTGCTAGCCGCCCCTCTCACTCTGCTGCTGCCTGGGAAAGTGGGTGGGAAGGGAATTCCCTTACGGGGAATCCCAGCAATTGGGCTAATTAAAAGCTGGGGGTGTGGTCTGGCAATGTGCCAAAGCCCAGCAGGCAGGGGTTTGCAGCCTGCTGCCAGTCCACAGACTGGTGGTTGGGAACCGCTGCCTTCGGGTGTGGCACTAACTCAAAAGGAAGAGATAGCTTGCACGGATCTTCTTATACTAGCCAGCTGCCCCTATTTATGGGGATTTTATTTCTGTAAAAAGCACATTATAATTTATAGGAATGACACATCTGGACCACTATTTTGGAATATCAAACCTGAATAGTTACTACTGACGCGTGGTAGGGAACTTGGGATGAGAGTTAGAAACTTGAGAACATTCTTTTCTCGTCAGTCACCATGGCATGCAACACTGTTTTACACCTTTATAATGAACTAAAATGCTACAGAAAAAACATACTCAATGCTATCACCAAATCCTCTCGCACCACTCACTTGAAAATTTGACCCATTGAAGTTAAATGGCAAGGCTTAGCAGGACTGGACCCCTGATTCTTTTTATTCACATTACTGCTGTTGGTCTGATTCACCAATGCACTCGAGCACATGCACTTGAATTAAGCCCTTCTTCTTCAGAATGTGGTTCATTACAACAATTACACTGTTTAAAATAATTACTGGTAAACATGTTAGCATTAATAAAACAAGTAATATTGCATTAGCATCCAGAGGCCCTTGTCAGGAACAGAGATCTATATAGAGCCTGTGGTGTCCAGCCAGTTCTGAAGCAGTAGCCACTATAGTAGCCTCTGCTCTCATGAACTAGCCACACTCAAGCAGCCAAATAGCCACATTTGGCTAGTGGCTAGCATGTTGGACAGCATGGGATAGACATATAGAAACTATAATCCTTGCCCAGAGATTAATTGGTTTGATAAATTAAGACATCATACCAGATCACTCCCGGGCACCATCCGTACAAAGGGGCTTCTCCCATTACAGATTTTCCTGCCATCTGTCCACCATTTTAACATGATGGATATTCCTTGGTGGAGTTTAAGATGTGCAGGTTTGCAAAGGGTAGTTCAGGAAAACTGGCTTCTGCTAGATTCTCCCATTCTAATAGTGGAAACAACCATAATGCACTTATGCAACTTTCTCTTATACAATGAAGAACTGGGCCTTTGAGATGGGGTTTCATGGTGAAAGGAATTCCGAGAAGCTTCTAGAGGATCCCCCCCTCCCAAAATAAACATGCATTTTAGGAGAGTTCTGGATCTCTTGAGTAGGACTATCTGCAAAGAAGAAATTCTGCAAGTGTCAACTGAAGTGAGTGTTCTCTCTACTATGTAGGTTATTCCAACATAAGAGAGAGTCACTGGCTTGTAAAACTATTTATCTATTCCCCACCCCCAAAAAGGGATGGTCTCTTAACATTTTTGGGGAAATCATAGAAAATTAGAACTGGAAGGGACCTCAATACTCACAGCAGGACCAAACACCCTAGATAATCCCTGACAGGTTCCACAACCTCCCTAGGCAATTTATTCCAGTGCTTAACCATGCTGATAGTTAGGAAGTTTTTCCTAATGTCCAACCGAAACCTCCCTTGTGCAATTTAAGCTCATTGCTTCTTGTCAGACAGTAAGAATAATTTTTCTCCCTCCTCCTTATAACATCCTTGTTGATACTTGATAGCTGCTATCATGCCTCCTTTCACTTTTGTCTTTTCCAAACTAAACAAACCCAGTTCTTTGAGTCTTCCCTCAGAGGTCATGTATTCTAGTTCTTTTAATCATTTTTGTTGCTCTTCTCTGGACCGTCTCCATTTCTCCACAGCTTTCCTGAAACATGGTGCACAGAACTGGACACAATACTCCAGTTGAGGCCTAATCAGTACAGAGCAGAGTGGAAGAATAACTTCTTGTGTCTTGCTCATGATACTCCTGTTAATGCATATCAGAATAATGTTTGCTTTTTTTGCAACAGTGTCACATTGTTGACTCATAGCTTGTGGTCCACTATGACAGCTACATCTCTTTCTTCAGTGCTCCTTCTTAGACAGTCACTTCCCATTTTTTATGTGAGAAGCGAATTATTCCTCCTTAAGTGGAGTACTTTGCATTTGTCTTTATTGAATTTTATCCTATTTACCTCAGATCATTTCTCTAATTAGTCCAGATCATTTTTAATTATAAGAGCATCCTCCAAAGTTCTTGCAACCTCTCCCAGCTTGGTATCACCTGCAAACTTTATAAAGGTACTCTTTTGCAGACCTATACAAAATCTGGAAAGGCTTTCTGACATAGGCAGAAAATGTTTTTTTCCTTATCTGTAAAGGCTGAACTGATCAGGATATGAAAAAGATAACTGAAAATAACAAATTTTTTATTTGCATTAAGAGTTGTATTCACTCTATATATATATAAGAAGACTGAAGTAAATCTTAGTACAGGCAGTCCCCGGGTTACGTACAAGATAGGGACTGTAGGTTTGTTCTTAAGTTGAATTTGTATGTAAGTCGGAACTGGTACATATTGTAGGGGAAACTCTAGCCAAACATTTCTCCAGAGCTCAGTTTTATTCTCCCACACCTCACTTCCCTCAGGGTATTATTCTCAAACTGAGGTGTCTGCTGAGAAAAGCTGCTCCGCATCTCCCTGGTCTGCTGGGGG